TATCTATCTATCTATCTATCTATCTATCTATCTATCTATCTATCTATCTATCTATCTATCTATCTTATAACTCCCTCATCATTTTGTCCCCAAAACAGGTTTGCTTTAAAAAGTTACTTTCAACAAGAAATCACTGTGGCATTTAGACTGTGAATCAATGTTTGATGGATCTGTTGTGACCTCTACCAACCTTCCAATGATGGTTAAAAGAAGCTGGTTTCTTTTCAAAATGGAAAAAAAATATATCTTCTTCTTACTTGTCAGAGAGGCCCCCGAAGATGATGCCACCCACCAGCACACCGGCCATGTAGATAGACTGAGCCAGCTGCTGGAGGCTCCGGAAATTGCACACCAAGTCCCACTGCAGGGGGATAAGAATATCAGAATCCACAGCGCGGATGGACGTTGACACACACACACACACACACACACACACACACACACACACACGCAACTGACCTGAGAGAGAAGGGCTATAAGGGCCTGTGAAGCTTAGAAGAACATCATTACCAAGACACAAGAACGTAGAAAAGACAGAAGAACAGGCTTGCGGGGGACCTTGGAGGTCATCTAGTCCAACCCCTCATCGAGCAGGCCTCCTTATAAATGAAGTCCTCAACTTAAAACCTTTTTCTGTTTGCTGACTGTTTGAAGTTACCACATTACTGCAAAAAAGTGACTTCTGGCTATTTTGGACATTCCCAACCATTGCAGCATCCCCACCGTCACGGGATCAAAGTTCAAATGCTCGGCAACTGACTCGTATTGATGATGGTTGCAGTGCCCTGGGGGGCGGTGTTCACATGACCACCATTTGCAATCTTCCGGGCAGCAACGTCCACGGAGAAAGCCAGATTCGCTTCCCAACTGGGTTACTAACTTCATAGCGGCAAAGATTCCCTTCACAGCTGTGGTGAGAAAGGGGGTCAAAGGGGGCGAAACTCACTTAACGACTCTCTTGCTCAGCCATGGGAAATGTGGGGCTCAACTGTGGTCGTAAGTCGAGGACTACCTGTATTCTCGGAATCACTGGAAGTTTTCAAAAATAGACCAAATAACCATTTGACTGGGATGGGATTAAGTCTCCTGCTTTGAGCAGGGGGTTGGAATAGAAGACCCCTGAGGTCCCCCCCAGTCCTATGTTCTATGATGCTCAGCACCACACCTGGGAGAGATGGGACTTGGAGTCAGTCTGTCTGTCTGTCTGCCTACCTACCTACCTACCTACCTACCTACCTACCCATCTATCTAGGTACAGATCTATCTATCTATCTATCTATCTATCTATCTATCTATCTATCTATC